TATATATACACACACACTATCATCTTATCCTCGATCACTCTTAATTTCCTAATTTTTTTTAACAGCTATCTAATTTTATAAGACATTACATGAATACATACATATTAAAATACAATCCCCTTATCCTCGACTGCTATTTATTTCAAATACTTCATAATAATAATAATTAGTACTATATACTATATTATATTATTATAGAATATCTAAGTATTTGTACAATGCACTATTTGTTGTATTGACATTATTTAATGATTTTATTGTTTCAATTATATATTGACTTTATATTTTAATTTCCAGTAATTTTCTTTAATAATAAAATACTATATTACTGAAATGAAAATGTATTTATTCAAATTAAACTGTCAACTTACAAGTCAAAACCATCAGAATGAATGAGTCTTTTTCCATTTCTGCCTCCAGCTTTACCATCTTTCTCTTTGGCTCACAAAACATCTAAACCAGATACTCACACAAGCCAGTCCACAGCCAAGATGAGGGACAGATCGTTGGTGGGCAGGCCTATTGACTCCAAAATGATGGCCAGCGTCAGCACCCCTCCAGCAGGGATCCCAGCAGCACCCACGCTAGACGCCGTCGCAGTGACACTACAGACAGATAAAAAGTCAGTCGGTCAAAGCCAACGTCTTCCAATCACAGCAGAGTATGGAGGTGGATGAACGTCATCCAATGAACTCACAGGATGGTGATGACCTGGACGAAGTTCAGTGGGATTCCGTTCAGCTGAGCGATGAACACCGCAGCTACGCACTGGAAGCAGGCGGCTCCGTCCATGTTGACGGTCGCTCCGATGGGCAGGATGAAGCGGCTGATGTGCTTGGACACACCGTTGTTCTCCTCCACACATTTCATCATAAGGGGCAACGTGGCAGAGCTGATGAGAAAATCTGATGGTTATTTCCTGCTTAATTATGCATTTGCAAAATTCTTTTAATAAATCTTCCATTTTATCTTAATGTAAAGAATATTTTAATAATCTAAAGAACCTCTTTCCACTATAAAGAACTGTTTGTGCAATGGAAATGTTCCCTGGATGTTAAATGTTCTTCATGGAACCATAGATGCCAATAAAGAACCTTTTGTTTTTAAGAGTGTAAATAGCTGCAATCATTTACCTAGAGGACGTTCCAAAGGCAGTGGCCAAAGCGGTGACCAATCCCAGCAAGAAAGTGTATGGGTTTTTCCGTGTAATTACAAAGTAAATGAGCGGGAGGACAAGGAGACCATGGATGGCATGGCCAATGACGCAGCAGGCGATGTACTTCCCCAGGCTGGCGAACAGCAAGCCAACATCCTCCATTTCTACAATCTTAGCAGCAACCAGGAACATAATACCCAGTGGTGCATACCTGTAGAAAACAAAAAGTACGTGGAAGGGAAGTGAAGAGACAAACGCATAGGACACCACAATTCAAACACTGGAAAAAGCACATGATGTTCCCTTACCACATGATCCAGGAGACCAACACCATGGTGGCCTCATTGAAAGAGTTGAAGAACTTGATAAGGATCTCTCCTTCCTCTCCAAGTTTCCTCAAGGCCACACCAAACGCCATGGCAAAAACGATGAGACCCAGGATGTTCATTCCATCCACTTCTGTGCCAACTGGAGTCTAACCACAAAAATAAAAATGACTGAATTCACATAAAAAAAAGAAATATTATTAAACCACTCATATTTCATACATACATTTATTACATTATAATTAGACTATTACACTGTAATAATAAATTCCTACATTATACATGTATTTATAGAAATCTGGACTTTCAAGAAAATTCTCTGAAGGTATTATATCTGGGACTTGGTACCTTTTCCACAGTGAAGGTGGTCAAGTTGGTCGAGCTGGTAATATTTTTAATCTTGTAACCAGTGGCATACTGTGAAGGAGAATAAATGTTCAGAATAACCTAATAATCACACATCACATTTAAACCATAAATCCAAAAGTTTAAACAAACGCTAGTTAAACCCACCGACTGAAATGCAGCTGCTACCAGGTTCGGCGGGAAGATGTTTCTGAAAGAAGACGACAGGGAGGAGTTATCTGTATGTCTGAAGCCCCGTTCACACTACAAGCGACACGCAACAGCAAAGCGACACAATCCCCTTTTCCAAATACCCACACTTGCGGTCTTGGCCACTTGAGAGCGCGTGCGCGCGACAGGAAGTAAGTGTGCAAGACTGTCCCAGATCTTAAAAACGCCAGAGCGCAGTGCCCTTAACGCACACTAAACCCACACTATCTCGAATACCGCTCCGGAGCACTATTCGAGGCTTAGTGTATCCCATCATGCATCATGTTCTGGAAATAAATCGTGAGACTTTTTGCCGAGATCTCGCGAGAGGTCACGGAAACCTTTCCAATGTATGTTAAATATAAATGATAATTAGATATTACATATAATTTGCTAGAAAAACAGTGTTTTTACGTTTTATTGGTGCAAAGATGAGTAGTGGTGATATTTATTTTGTACAACATTTGCAACTGCTTTTTATCACTTAATTAGAAGCACCACAAATTAAAATGATGTCATGTTATAGGGACTACTGAACAGACAGTTAGAAGTTGATTTTAAAATGCAAAGTATTTAAAATTAAAATAAAGCTATGTAAACACTTGCATTTTTACAAAACTATAAGTGTGTCCCATCAGGTAATGAAAAGTTCGACACACACTTGTGGTCTTCATCCTCACTTACGTCATATAAGTAGCCAAGTGGTCAAGTGCAAAGACCGCAAGTGTGGGTATTTGGACAAAGCT